TGGTTACCAGCGGGGAGAGGGTGGGGGTTTGGGTGATGGGGACTGAGGAGTGCACTTGTCCTGATGAGCACTGGATGACGTATGACAGTATCGAATTACTATATTCTACACCTGAAACAAATATAATACTGTATGTTAACTATACTGGAATGAAAGTTAAATGAAATTAAATTAAAATTTTTAGACCTGCAGATTTTGCATTCATTAAGCATTTCTCTAAGCACTTACTGTATGCCAGGCAGTGCTTGAGGTACTGGGGACCCAAAGATGAAGAAAATATAGAAAGATCTGGGTCCTGAAAGAGCTTAGTCCAGTCAGGGGGACAAATGAAATTTTTTCAAAGTACAGTTTTGTACATGTTCTAGCACAAAGAAATAAAAGGCTAAAATGTATATTCCTGGGCTCCACCACGGAGATTCTGAATCCATCGATCAGAAATGAGATCCAAGAAAGGTCTCTTGACTACTACAGGGTATTGTAGTGCAAGTCACCTCAGGCCACACTGGGGCACAGAATGCTCTAGACTATAGGTGGGGCTGAACCAATGGTCCCAGCAATAGGAGTCTGCAGGGCTTAACAGTCAAATGCAGAATGTCTTAGTCAATTAGATTTGATTAATTGATGGAAACATTTCAGTGATCAGATAGAAAAGGATCAAGTCACACTTGCTACTGGTGGGCTCTGACACTGGGTTACACACAGTTCAGCTTTGACAATTCATCCTCTTTGGCACAGCAAGGCAACCATCTTTAAAAAAACCTACCCTAAGGACATAATCAGGTTTTAGTCAAAATATTAGTAGGATTACAGCAATTATTTAAGAGTTCTGAATAAATAAGAAGAGGATGAAGCTATTCTTAATTACTTTTCCTTAGAATGCTGGCTAGGGGTAGAGAACACTGAGGGAAAGAGTGCTCCACTCTGTGTCCCTCAGATTCAGGCTCTGTTTTGCAAATGTTTTCTGGTTACTATGACAACTTCTGGATGTCTCTGTATAAATGGGAAATTGGGAACCTCCTTTAAAAAAAATGATTAGTGTGTTCTTTTTATCCTGGTAACCTCGTTCTGTGCTGACAAATTATATTCTGACAGCTAGGTTGTAATCTAAAACATATTTTTTTAGAGGCTCCGAATAATAAAGTGTTTCCAGGGGTTGATAGTTCGTCTTCCTTTATATTTTTATGTATTTGCTTTCAATGAATTCAAGAGATAAACTGAAGCACTGAATACCCGCTATACTTTTAAAATAACTCAGAAATGTGTCCTCCCTTGTAAAAGCTGATGTATGTCACTTTGATTATTGTACTTGGGAGGTGTAATAAAAGGAAAGAGCAAAAGCTTCTAAATCAGTCAGACTTGAAGATGAGCCATGACCCTGTCACTTGCTAGTTAGTTGTGTGACCTTGGGTAAGTAGTCTAACTCTTTGAGCCTCAGTTTCCAGCTATAAAATAAGAACCAAAAATAATATATACATACAAAAGTGTCCACAGAAATTCCAAGTCCATTGAGCAGGTTCTCAATATAACATGATGGCTATTACTACCAAAGAAAAAATAAAAAGCAAGCAGAGAAACATCTAAAACCCATCAGACTTGGTTTAAAAGAAATTGGGCTTTACCTAGAAAACAATGAATTTATTAAAAAAATAAGGCACAACCAGCATCATTAGGATTGAACTTTGTCAGGTTTTAGCTATATATGATACTATACTAGATACTCAGCACTAATAGGAAAATACTGTTGGAATTCTGTAAGGTGGTGGAACATGACAGATCCTCTGGCACAAAAAGTTTAAAGTCCTCAAAACTTTAGAAAACAATAGTCTGAAAATATGCCATCAGCTAAAGTTAATGCATAACTTTGAAATATCAAATAGCCAAGCTTTTAAATAATAGAGGTCATGGTGAACCAGGGCCAGCAGCCCTCCCTCTGTAACCTATTCAAGATGAGAGAATGTAATTGTGAGGGGAAGGCCTCAGTGTCTGTAGGGATGAGTCACCTCTAGAGGAAGGTTAGCATCATGGCAGGGACAGGTTTCTCTATTTGTTTTCTAACAGCAGGTACGAATTAACTTTTTCTCTCTTTCATAGTCGGTTGGTGGCCAGGACTCAGTTATATCCTGTATCTCTAGGTTTGCTCTTTATTAAACTGTGTATGGAGAATGAGGATTTTTAGTAGGGAATTCTAAATCTTTTGTCATTATACTCCCTAATTCTGAATCCACTTTTATTTCTTAAGCTTCAATTATCATGACAAATAAGAGCATGGTGGATGATCACATGGGCAATGAATGTTGAAGCAAAACACAAATGCAAAACATTAAAGCAAAACAAGGTATTTGGAAATTAAAAAATACACGAAACTTTCTTTAAATGAAAATAATAATTTCAAGGTTCTTAAATCCATGTTATATGTGGCACATAAGCTCAACCTATGTAAGTCAGTCTATTAGAAAGTATTCATGCAGAACTGGCAAAACGAACAAACAAACAAATAAAACAGCAAAACCAAGGACCCAGAGTAACAGATGTCAGCATCACGCTTTCACTATCTGATTTTGGTTTCCATTTATTTATCTTATATCTAAAGCAGTACAATCTGGAGAGTAGAAATGGACAGGAAGAAAAAGTCATTTGATAGAGATTTTCTCAGGCATCTTATCCTCCCTGCATACTAACCTTACCCACTGCTTGTTATTTAAGACAAGGTAAAACAGGGAACTCAGGGAGCATGGTTTAAAAAGGAAAGTGCCAAGAATATCGAATTGGGAAAAGGCAGTCTCTTCAATAAATGGTGCTGGGAAAAGTGGATGGCTACATGCAAAAGAATGAAACTGGAGCAGTTTCTTACACCATACACAAAAATAAACCCAAAATGGATTATAGACCTGAATGTGAGACCTGAAACCATAGAAGTCCTAAAAGAAAACATAGGCAGTAATCTCTTTGACACTGCCCTTAGCAACATATTTATGGATATGTGTCCTCAGGCAAGAGAAACAAAAGCAAAAATAAACTATTGGGACTACACCAAAATAAAAAGCTTTTGCACAGCAAAAGAAACCATCAACAAAACAAAAAGGCAACCTAGTGAATGGGAGAAGATATTTGCAAATGATAAAACTGATAAAAGGTTAATATCCAAAATATATAAAGAACTGATACAGCTCAACACCCAAAAAATAAATAATCTAATTTAAAAATGGGCAGAAAAAAAAGAACATGCTCACTCAGTAATTAACATGCAAAAAGACCCAAAAATGGTTAGAAGACATGAACAGAGATTTCTCCAAAGAAGACATACAGATGGCCAACAGACACATGATGTTGTCATCACTTACCATCAGGGAAATCCAAATCAAAACTACAATGAGATATCACCCCTCACCTATCAGAATAGCTGGTATCAAAAAGACAAGAAATAACAAGTATTGGAAAGGATGTGACGAAAAGGGAGCCCTTGTGCACTGTTGGAGGGAATGCATACTGGTGCAGCCACTCCAAAACAGTACGGAGGTTCCTTGAAAAACTAAAAATAGAACTCCCATATAATCCAGTAATTCTACTATTGATTATGTACCCAAAGAACAACAAAAAAAAAAAACACTAATTCAAAAAGATATAGGCATCCTTATATTTATTGTAGCATTATTTATAATAGCCAGGATATGGAAGCAACTCAAATGTCCACCAGTAGATAAATGGATAAAGAAGATGTGGTCTATAGAAGCAATGGAATATCACTCAGCCATTAAAAAGAATGAGATCTTGCCACTTGGAACGACATGGATAAACCTAGAGGGCATCATGCTAAATGAAGTAAGTCAGACAGAAAGACAAATCCTATGTTCTCTTTTATGTGGAATCTAAAAAATGAAATGAACAAATAAAACTCTTAAATACAAATAGACTCTTAATACAAAGAACTCTTCAATACAAAGAACAAACTGGTGGGTTGCCAGAGTGGAAGTAAATGAGGATGGGCAAAATAGGTGAAGGGGATTAAGAGGTATAAACTTCGAGTTATAAAATAAATAAGTCACAGAGACGAAAAGTACAGCATAGCAAATTCAGTCAGTAATACTGTAGTAACATTGCATGGTGCCAGTGGTGACCGCACTCATGGTGGCAAGCACTGAATAACATACAGACTTGTCAAATCACTTTGTTGTATGCCCAACACTAATGTAACAACACATGTTAACTATATTTCAATTAAAAAATAAACAGAAAAGGAAATGCCAGTGATAATATAAGCTATTCATTTGGGGAACTGTTCCCACACCACCCCTATACCCATTCCTTTACTTCACATCACTGGGTGAAAGATTTGTGACTATTCATCTTCAGTCAGTAACTGGTTGGGGTCAGGGCCTCTGACCAAGCTTAGTCAGTCCTGGCTCCTGTGTAGGGCTTCCAGGTGAAATATAGGCACCCAGTTAGGTCCAAATATAAGATTAGCAATAAGTAAGTTATATATAAATATATCCCAAATATTGCATTGAGGCATACTTACTACATTCCATGGCAGTATTTGCAAATCTGCCAACAACAGGGGCAAATACATACAGCCCATCTCATGTTCCATGTATTGTTCTAAATGCCATATAAATATTAATTCCCTAAATACATGAAAATATATGGATATGTAAACATATGCCGATGTTTGGATGATCTGAGGTTAGAAATAATGAATTGTGTATTTTTAAATTTTAAAAATTATGCAAAAATTCCTATGATTAAAACAAGTAAGGAGTTTTCATTGGTTATCTGCAAACTAATTTGCAGAAAATTGAAAATATCAAAGTTGTGAGTCTAGATTTCAGTCCCTGCTCATTAACTAAGCCAAATGACCTTGGGAAAGTTTCAATTCTCTGAATCTAAGATTTCTTATCTGTAACGTGAGATTTGGATGAGATTCTTTTTAAGGTTGTGCTGTCGCTAAAATTCTATTAGATCTTATAATATGCGAAATCTACTAGCAGAGAAAAGTGTATTACCTCCGCAATCATTCTGTTCGTGTCTCCTAAGAAGAGCAAATTTAGAGCTTCTTCCTCCGTGGCTGCCTGATGGAGAGACAGGTTTTTCAGGTGAATGTTTTGATCAGGGTCCTCCAATATTGTCACTTTCCTAGGGAAATGGGAAGCAACAAAACAAGGGACTTTGAGAATGAAAAGAACTTGAGGTCTTCTTATAGGTTTATTTTTAAAATGCTGTAGAGTACTACATCTTGAACTTATAAACTCAAACAATACACAAGACACCATACAGTACTGGATTCACATCAAACACTGACATCCCCTTGATAGTACTACTAAATAGTTTGGGGGCTGAAAAGTATATCACAAGCGCCTTCTGTCTTTGAAATCATCACTAAACCATACATATTGTTGCTCAATTAAAAATGCAAATAAATAACCTTCTACCTATATATCAGGAAAGTTGGCCACATTGCTTTTTCTCTGTCATAATTCAGTTTCTTACCTAGATAATGCACTGATTCTTCTTCTAATTTTTCCCTTTTGTTCAATTTCATATCACTTTCAATTTACATAACCTTTCAAACTGGTTAGCTCATCAATTTAAACATGCTGGAAATTGAAGTATCTGTCATCTTTCCAGGAGTTATTACCTTGTCTAGTTTTCTTATCAAGATGAGTTTTAAAATCCTCAAGAAGTTTTATAATAAAGTTTTAGTTTGCCATTATTATTTTCATGTCCATCAAATGTATTTCTTGATCCTTTTTTTCTAAAAAAAAAAATTTTTTTTTTTATAACATAGCATTTCCCTCCATTACATCCTTATGGCCAAAGCTTTAGGTCTGGAATTACGTTCATCTATTACAATTACCTTCATGGGATGCCAACATCATTTTCTTCCCAAGTGAATCTTAACCCTTTTTCCCGAGTTGGCTTGTCAATACTTTCCTTGGAGTCCTTTTAGGACTTTCTGCAACTGAATACAATGTGAACTCCCTATACTCTGCTTCAAAGGCCCACTGATTCAAGCAATAAAATTACTAGAGAGAGTTCCCTTCTGACTCTCGAGTTTCATTTCCTTGATTTTCTTAAGAATTGTTAAGGAAAGAAAATCTTATAATTCACTAGTACTGCCAAAAAGTACCTTGGCTTATCTGTACTTGCTTAAGGCATTCGGAATTGATACTAAGTGAAGGCTGGCATCATCTAGCATTACTTCTTTAAAAATACAAATAGCCAATGGACTTGTGTCACTTGTCTATAAAATCACATTTAGAATACCTTAAAAATAAAGATTTGCAAATATCATTATTTTTCTTCCTTCCGTTTGGTAAAGAGGTCATCTGAGCTTTCATATGTAGTTTGTGGGTAAGATACTAACTGATGGAAGAAAATGTAGCTGTAACACAGCACATCTGTGACCAATATGTCACTAATAATATAGTCCTTTGCCAAGTTTTGGACTCCTTTTTGTCTCCTTCAACAATACCAACTAAGATGGAAAACGATCTCTTCCCTTAATGAAAACAAGTGTATTTTATTTATTTTTCAACAAGATTCATAAGTGAACTTATTAAAAATGCTTAAGAGTTGAAAAATGCTTGGAAAACATGAAGGCATTTTTAACTGAAATGGATGAATTGTGGTCTATTTTTAGGAACCCTCTCTGTTCCTTAAACTTTAGATCCACCCCGACTTTCTAAAGTGCTCGAGAAGGTTTAGCTAAATTCAATCACTAGGGACACAGAAGTCAGAATTCTTCCTAAATCCATTGTTTCTGGATGCAAGAAATTAAGTAATACTGGAAGGAAGATAAAAACAGGAAACAAGGGAGGAAACGGTACATTCAGAATTAAAATAGAAGAGAGTTTATTTTCAACACAGAGATAAAAATCAATTCTCCAACTCTGAGGTCAAGTCATCTGTGATACACGTTGAATGACCAAGCCAGAGACAGCACTATCTTGTGCAAGTTCAGAAAAGGGGTGGCTGGGGGAGGAAATGATTCAAAGAAGAGAATGCTCATGCTCTTTGGGCACCCAAAGTATGCCAGGCACCAGCATTTTTCATTTAATCCAGTTTTCTCATCTTGGCTGCATATCAGAATGACCTGGGGAACTATAAAGCAAATAATAAAAAGCTGATGCTGGGTCCCGTCCTAAAAGATATTGATTTGATGGTTCTGGGGGCCTGGTCTGGGGAAAAAAACAAAACAAAACAAAACAACAAACTCATGAAAACTCCAAGTGAGTCTACCGTATAGTCAAGATTGAAAGCCACTGACTTCATCTTTAATAACCCTATAAGGTAAATACATGGGGTAGAGATTTCTGGTTTCTTTATCTTTACTTTCCCCCCAGTTCCACCCCATGCCCAAAGGGGAAAATTGCTCATCTTACGGGCTGCAGGAAGTTACCATTGAACTATACCTACCAATAGACAAGATCAGTGTGAATTTTAAAAAGCTAGTCTTTTCACAGGAAGTTTCCTGTCTACCTCCCTGACTTCCCATACAGTTGATGGGTCAACTAAGTCATCCAGCAGCCACAGCAATAACTAATGCTCAACTTGGGATTATGATCTACTTGAACATCCACATGGTTTTTAACATTACCGAATCAAAAAACCCCAAGTGCTGGTAGGGACTCACCATACTCACCATGTCTCACCATTACTTGACTGAAATAAGAAATGCAGAAAACAAGCAGGTTTGGAATTATGAAAGTGTTCAATTTTTAGGCAGCCTAAATGGATCACTGATTTGGGATTATATTTACATAGAATAGTTAGATGCATAAGGTATAAGTGTGAAAGGTCATCAGAGGCATTTGGCTAAGCTACTTCTTTCTTCTAAATCATTCAGAACCTTTGCTCTCCAGTGTGGCTACTTCAGGGCTACTACACTTCTGTATTTACTTCCAGATCCTTGCCTAGCTTTGTCACTTTGATCAAAATACAACTTGCACACACTCCCAATTTATCTGTTCAAACTTTCAGTTGTCTTTTGTGACCCATTGCTATGCATCTCTCTGATGCTTTTCTGATATTATATTTCCCTCACAATTGTCTGATTTCTTGCCCATGGAGGTTTTGAAAAGTAAATGAAATTGCAGGTTGGCATCCAATTTACTTTGGCTTCTTTCATGATTCTCTCTCTACTTAGGACTCATCTGTGGCCACCCTATAAAAGGCTCTACCTCTGGCATCCTTCTGGAATTTTCTGTGGTGCAACTTTCTCTCTCCAGTCAGGATCTCCCTTGCCAGTTCTCCTCCTCAGATTCTTTCCTGGTTTCTGCCTAATCCCTTGGGCATGAGACTTTGTACTTTCCTTCATAGCCCTGCCTGTCTTCACTGAAAATCCCTTTTGCATTAAGCCTGACAGCCAATGTGTCAGCCCCACCCACATTCATGCCTTTGCTCACAGAAGCCCAGCCTAAGCCATGCCCTGGGTACTAACTCTTGCCTAGGTGGGCTAACCTGGGAGTGAGAATGTTTTAAACTTTGCTGCTAATGGAATGTATTTTCAAAGGTGGGAAAAATAAGAACTATTAGCAAAAGTTTCTCACCAAGTTGCTTCTCCTTCCTTGGCATTTTTCTTTCCCTCTCTCTCTCACAAATCAATAGCTATTTCCTGAATCCTTAGTCCACCACTCAATTCTGACTATAATTTTCATGGGCTTGAAAGAGGACTTTATTAGAGTTTCTTAAATAAACATCCTAATTCCAAGATGGAAACCCCCCAAACTATTTATTTGATTCTTTTTAAAAGGGCCTGTGAATAGTTTTCCCTACAAAATGTTTCTAAAATGTTTAGATTTTAAGCAAAAAGTCACTGATAGCCTTAACTTGGACACCTAAGTGGAAAAGTTCGGCTAAGTATACTCGGCCTGCTTAATGATGGGGAAGAAGCAGGCTTTGTGTTTTCTCTGTAAACAGAGAATCTTTTCCATTTGGCTAAGTAGTTGGAATTTGTAGACTCTTTCTAACGGGCTGGAAGACAGAGAAAGAGCAATAGCCAAGCTCTTGTTCTCAATAATGGAAGCCATCAATGAAAGAACCCTCCCCTCCCCACACACTACCTCCACAACATTCCAATACTACCAACTTGCTGAACAGGAACTTTCCAGGAGTTACTGCAATGAATCTGGCTTCTCATTTTCATATTGTAAACATGTGTTGCCATGGTGCTAGTTTTTTTCCCCCTACTTGCAAATGCCCTGTGTGATTGGGCAGGCAATGCCCTACATAAGGACACCATGTCTAAGGGGGTGCAATTCACATCATAAGTTCATATACTTATTATGAAAAAATGTCTGTCAGAGGGCAGTAAGCATCTTCTAACAAAACTAGCATATTACAATAGTTTTCCAACAGATGGCAGGGGTGCCTTTTAATAATTCACATGAAGGTGCTATCCAGAAGAGAAGTAGCCCTCTCTAGTTAATTACCTTGACTCAGAAATATCAATAGCAGGTCAGACTCATGAAAACAGAAGGGTGTCCAGTCAGGTTCTTCTAAATAAATGGATATGTTGCACATGTTGTAAACACAGTCACACTATTCATTTTAATGAAGAAAACACTCTCTCGTTCAGTGGTTTTCAGCCTCTTCACCCCCCACCCCAACACACATTGTCGGAAGCTCTTTAATGGTAAAGATTTGAGAAAAAGGAAGATGCAAATTTTTAGAAGACATGTAAGTGGAACTATCCTTCCTGCACTTAAACAATTTTAAAGGTAGATTTTCTTCAGATTACTAAAAATTTAAAAGATTTCCTCTTTTGTATAAATAATTGAAACATATCCCTTGAGGAAGTTTTCCAAACCTGTAATACATTTTTATATTGGTCTTAACCTAGACAGAAGGGACTAAAAAGAATCGATATTTTTTCTATTTATTGAAAATTCTTTCTAGTAGGTTGAAAAACATTTCTTTTCTTTATAGTTTTACCTAATATTGTATCTTTTTACTGATAATGAAGAATATAACCAGTCACATGACATTTTAAAAACTAAGTTATTTAATTTCACCTACTAAAAATACCAGTTTCTCTAGCAAATATTTAAGGAATCAGTTATATCAATTCTCAATAATCTCTTTCAGAAGAAAGAAGCAGAAGAACTATTTCCTAACTCATTTTATGAGGTCAG